GAAGGTTTAAAACAAGCAAAGGAGCTATTTTTTCTGTCCAGCGTATTGCCAAAGCTATGGAACTCCTTTCCAAAAGATGCTGCAGAGGCTAGAGTATCACAGAGTTTCAAGGGCAGACTGGGTAAGTTCATGAAGAGAAAGGTGTTGAAGGTCATTGAATATAAAGAAAATATATGTTTTCAGAAAGGTCCTAGAAGTTCAAGTGCTTGAAGCACTGGGAGACTGCTAGGATGAAATACCACAAAGTTTGCCCTGATCTGTTACTTCTCCCTAGTTACGTTTTTGACCCCTGTCAGATGGGACACTGGGCTAGACAGAACGTTTGGGCTGCACTGTACAGATGCTCTTTACATTCTTATGTTATATTCGTTGTTCGCTAGCAAAAAAATAGCCCTAAATTTTGTTATGCATTCAGCCTTGTCGCTCACTGGCAGACACACTCTTAGTAAAATATTCTTATGGGATTGCACGTGTCTCTTTATAATCTGTTGAAAACTGCTGGGAAAACAAAATCACCCCATGATTAACTGGTACCATTTGAAAACCCTTCTGCTCTTATTTCAGTTCTGTGTTCCACCTCAGATTCAAATAAATACTTGACATTTCCTAGAATCTGCAGAAAATTTCAAGGCTTATAGAAAAGTTATTTCTAGAAGTATGCGTTCTTAAGCTATTCCGATTGTCTGCTTTGGATCTGACTTACCTAGTTAAGTATACACCACACGCAAGATTTATTTCTTTTAAGATGCAGAACGTATGGTCCCTATTACGAGAGGAAGAGAGCCCTCACAAGAGCCACATGAATAAAATCTGTCAGGGACACCCAGGCCCTTCTCTTTTTTTCAGATCAGGTCTTGGTTTTGCCATTTTCATTTACGTCTGGAATGAGGAGCGAGCTTTGAAAACATGCAGAATACACCGAAGATTTACTATTTAGGTATTACAGAATTTACCATCTAATCTCCTAGAGTATAATTTCGGAACACAGCTGCGCATACTTGTGTCCTGAGGAACGTAAAAGGTGAAACCACACAGGAAGATGGTGCCCAATGATAGACTGTCAAATGCAAATAACCAGTTTCCAAAGAAATACCTTCTAATGGCAAACACCAACTAATTAGGCTGTATGAGCCATTCCAAAAACATCCTACCTATTCATACCTGTTGGCAAGATGAAGACTTAAATCATATTTCTGGGCACGTTGCCCAAATACCTCCTTTTCTGCTTAGACATCCATTTGAAGTATTATTCTTAGCATAAAGGGTTATCAGCATTTTATTTAGCACCCAAGCAATGACATACAGTTGTTTAAAAATCAGAACACCAAATAAACAAAATTGGCCATTCACTTCTAAGAATGAGTTCCAGGACCAGGAAATTTACTTGAGTCAGGTAAATCACTGAAAACCAGCAATTCTTAGTAATTTTAATTTACTAAAAAAAAAAAAAAAAAATCTTTTTAAGACACATATTAAAGTTATGTAGTAATAATATCAAGGAAAGGTCTACATTTATTTGTACATACATTTCTGTGGAAGACAGTAGGCTGGATCTTCCAGCATCTCAAACACGAGTCATTGCACAGATGAATTTTTCCATTAGACAACAGTAAAAAGAATAATCAAGTCCAACATCCGCTTTACATAGCCCAAGTTACTGCCAAATGAATCACATATTAGCTGTACACTTATCTGTGCTAATATTCACATTCTAGAGATGAAGCGTGAGAAATATAAAATGAATAACAAATAATTTTGCACATTCAATCTTCAGCCTTCTCTTTTACAGGTATTGAAAGTCGGTATCCCTGGCCTGGCTTTTGGGGAAAAGAAAACACTGGCCTCTACCTCTGTAGAAAGAAAGACCTTCCAGCTCTGCCCCTGGAAACCAATACATCTGCTCTAAGATGAACTTAAGAGGAGTTCAATTCATTCGACAGAACCAATTAAAAATGCATAATTATTAAATATGCTAGTCTTTGGAATAATCGTTGTAGAGCAACAGAGTTTAATGGAGAAATAGTGCACAAATATCTGAATGAGCTGTGTCTTTTATCCAGTGTCTATTTTTATGAAAATTCTATGAAGAAAATTTGGCCCAAAATGTCTAGAACTCACTGATTTTTACCACAATATTTACCTTTGTCAGGATTTGCTGTTTACTAGCTTTGTCCACAAAGTCTCAGTCAACATATTTACAATCTCTGTGATTTTGTAATATAACTGTTAATGGAATAAATTCACTCAAGCACTAAATTTGCCCGTTTGCTCTTAGAACACATAGCTTTTGAGCCATAGCGAAGGCTGTTTTGCTAACCCTTTCTGGAAAACTTTGCCTTGGACACGGCCCACTGGTTAATGAAAGGTAGTGTGCTGTCCTGGTTAAATCAACTCTGTACCTAGATAAAGGCAATCATGCTGCAATACAGAAGAAAGCAAACTTTTTATGTTCCGTCAATCGGAATATACTAAAGGAACCATAAAAATCACAGAACACAACCTGCAGCTCTAAAGCCTGTAAATATGTCATTGAATTCACGTATGTTGGGAAGTCAAACAGAAATGAAATACAAAAATCTGCACCAAGCCTCTGTGTGCATAAAGCATTTAACAAAAGGAAACAAAGGACCAAGAAACTCCATAGAAGTTACTGTCTGTGTCACAGCGATTAAAACTTCCAGGGGCCTCCTATGTATATTGTGATGAAAAACAAGCACCTACAGGTAGAATTTACAGCTCTGTTCAGTGATTAATCCTTTAAAGCTTCAGAAGAAGTAAGTTTAGATGAACACTTCCAGTTCATTTCAAACCCCAGCTCAAAAGGAAACCTTTAGTCTGCAGTTAGAAACATACTGGCAAAAAACTAAACCATGATTTATCCGTCTTCTTTATTCTGGACTTATTTAGCAGACTGCCCAAGAACAATGTTAATTCCATTTCACTGACAAAGGAAAAGGTTCTACTGAAAGCAGAGGAATGAAAGTGGGTATCTTCACAGTAGGTTCAAAAAATAGGGTACACAGAATTTTCAGCTGCTGCACAAACACAACAGATCTCTTTTATATATTTTATACATATATACACACATACAGATCTGATTTTTTTTTAATTGTTCCCTGAAGTGAGCTTAAATCTTTCATCTAGAAATTTCTATTGAAGGAGAAAAACAATGTATTTTTTTTAAAGTAATTCTGTCCGATGCTTTTGGAAGCATACCACAACAAAGGTAAAGGATTCTTCCCTCCCACCCTATATGAGAAGAGGAGCTTTAAAGAATTTCACTGGAGGTAGTGAAATCCGGACATAACAAATTCAATTGAAATTAGCAGTACATTCATCTTTCTGTCACGATTTCACTTGGGACAGTCACAGTCTGCTTCCTGCATGCTTCCCAGTGCACGCACAGAGCTCCAGAAAGATGGGAAGGCAAGGCAACAACAGCGCAGCACAACTTACTTTCACAGCAGGAAAGAAGCCGCCTTCATAAAGCAGCATTTCCACCACCTGCTCCCTGGAGATACCAGAAAGCAAATTCTTTCTATTTGATGTAAGACAGCTACTATTAATGCTACAATAATAATGTACAAAAGGGTCTGGCTTGTGGATCTCACGTAACAAGCTAGAAAATTACAAGCTCCTAGAACACTGGCGAAAGAGGAATCTTAGCAATATGTGAGTGCCAAGTGAGAAGAGAGTTACAATGACATTTTAAGGTCATTACACATGCATTCCTAGTATTTAAGATATATAGAACCTTTACTTACACTGTAGAACTCAGTAAAACTTTTGGCTGGCAACATTATCTAATCCTCCAAATCTTACTAAGGTATTAAAGCACTGATAGGTGACAAAGTGATATCCTTCCTGAAATCCTGTATGTTACGAATACATTGGGCAAGGATTTTTCTTTTCAATTAATTTGGAAAAGTCAAAAAGTAATAATTCTGTCAATACCAAACAATTTCCATTTGTTTTATACCAAGCTCAGTACCGAAGGTGAAGAGTGAACATTCCAATTCACAGTTGCAGATTTTAGTATCACTTGCTTTCCATTGTTTATTCTTATTGGACTTCATACATATTCATTGAGATTTCCACAATGATGCTCAAGTGTTCTTAATTTATGAAGATCCCTCTTCCCAAGAAATTGCATTGGTCACAGGTGAACAGTTAGCTCTCTGAAAGCCCTCCCAAACTTTTCTGACTACGTAGCCTGTATTTTTATGTAATGTGCACATACACCTCTAAATATCCATTCTTTTTCCTTGCTTGTGAAAGCCGAACACTGCTACCTAATAGCCACAAGCTTGCATAAAGAGTATGAGCCCTCTGCCACACAATTGGGCATTTATTTTTGCACTTCTTAATCAATTGGTTCTTACAGAGTCTATTTCATGACAACACTTTAGATCCCACACCCATGACTATGTAGTTTCCTTAGTATCTTACTGTAAAGCACTTTGTCACACGAATTTTTAAACATATCAAATAACTTACCACAACCAGATCTCTGTTAGCTACCATTTTGTTGACAAGAAATTATGGAACATTAGAAGCAAGGCAAGATGCCATTCTATGATAATAACCTTTAAGAGGTCTTGCATATCTGAAACATTTATCTTAAGTACTTCCAAAAGTGTCCTTCTGTTTATAAGAGAAAAAAATAAATTAAAAAATGCAAAATGTGTCCATGCTCGAAGTATTATTATTTAGACTTAGAAACACTGTACAAAAGATAAAATAAAGAATATAAGATAAATATTAGAATTCCATTCACAAACATGCTGTATCCTCTTTTATTCCTATGGATATCAGCTCCTAACTGCAATGATAGCAGAAAGATTCATATATTTGTGGTGTACCCACTATTCAGAAAGACAATAAACAGTGAATTCCAGTGAATTAAACACACCTTATTTAAAATGTTTATTGTATTCAGCATCAGAATTATGACTGATGTCAATTTAAATAAATGTAAATGCAATGCCCAAAGACTAGAATTAGCAACTAATGTTTTTTGTGTGCGATACATGTATTTCATCCAGTACATTCCTGATGCTTTCTACACAAACCTCTTCTTTCTGATATTTCATACAGGTTTGCTTCCGTATCTCTTCAAACCTTTCATCTGAAGTGTTCACACCAATGTTGTGGAGAATTTGTGCAATCTACAAAATAGTACAATTAATGTAATTCTGGTCAGCATTTTCTTCAAACTATATAGAATATGGCTTTTACATACACTAGTAATGTCTATTTGCCAAAGAATAGTTTCCCACTCTTAAATAAAAACTACAGACCACATGCTGCATCCTTAACCAAAGGAGTTTCTATTTAAGTAAATCTGAATATTATTGGGATGAAAGCTGTGGTGTACAAAATGGTCTTTAGTTAATAAAGTAATGTTGATGTAACTTCAATATTGGAAAAATCAAGCACAGAAGATTCAGGGTAAAGTAAATGTTTTTTAAAAGCCCTAAGTCAAGTCCTGTTTATCCATTGTATTTTTACTGTTTGCAGTTATCGACATAAATCAGATTATATTATTGTCTGCATTTCACAGAAAGAATATTATACGCAAGATCTTCAGTTGGTATAGATAAATGGGTGAAGTGACTAAAATGAAATGGTTCACATCAACTTTGGGTCTTGCTATAGTTTTACACCAAAGTAGTTCAGCAGAATTTTTTTTTTCCCATATTTTCTCATTTGGATGCTTCCTGCTGCATGCCTCATTACACAGACCTGTTGACTCATTAGAGGAAGGTGGCTTTAGAAGAATATTGACATGACTTGTGCTTTTGTTAGTATTAGCAAATGTTTGGCTTCTTCAATTGTATTGTGTGTGTGTGTGCATCTGTGTTATATTTATGCTCTGGAGATTTTATGCATGCTTTGATAAAGTAAGACCTTTAACACGGTCAAATCAACCTTGTTTGTCATCGTTCTCTAAAACCGTCTTTTGTATAAACATAGGCCTGATCCACAGTACAGCAAATCTGCAGCTTCATCTTAGCCAATAAATCTGTGACAGTTTATGCCAGCTGAAATTACAGGAGGAAAACATGGACTGAATTTTGTTTCTTTAAGCATAGTTGTTGTTTCAGTTAAATCAGTAATGTTACTCATGAGGAAAACAAACCAGACTTGATCTAATGTTTTCAACAAGCTAGTGAAATTTAGAAGTTAAACGAAAAGCAATATTCCATTACAGGATACCACTGCAGGGACCATAAAGGCCTACATGCTTTCATAACTCAGTTTCACCATATTAAAATACAACTCTGTCCTGGCTTACCAACAGCCATAAAATAATTACTGACTAAACCACAGACTATCAAGTGTGCAGAAGGGGTTAAACTGACCCTTACCTATTTTCAACATGATCATGCTGAATACCAATTACACACTATTATTCAGTTACATAACTTCTATTCTCTTCAATAGACTCGGATGAATTCCAGTGAAGAAATTAGCAGGCCCTAGAACTATTTTGTTCTTCTGCAACACGAAGAGTCACTTCACGAAACTGCTTTATAGTCAGAATTTGCATTCATTTCTACAGGCCTACACAAAAACTGGTAGTATTAAATGACTCTGGGCTTTCATATAATAATATCATTAGTTATTACATGTTTGAAAATATTAATTATTATATTAATCACTAAAACACTGAAACAGTCCATTTCATGAGTATAGGGTGATTTAACACACTCAGAGGTGGTTCTGTACTGAACTCTGTATAGCCTGTATAGTCTACAGTGGAGTATGACATCTCAGGCCACATTACAACTTCAGAGAAGAGTTCTATCTAGCGCTTGACAGGTATAATGGGCTTCTCAATGAAGCATGAATTCTATTTACTGTTAGCTATATTCTGCATGCATGGATTTCCTGCTTCAGAGCTAGATTATAAAATGGTAAATGCTCATGTGCACGACATTCTGACAAGCCATTTTATGGATATGAACATGACACCACACCTTTTACATCCCCAACCACTAATTAGCAACATTCTTTTCTGTAAAATATATACTCAAGTTCCAGATCCACTTTCAAATGTGACAATATTTAATATGACTAGTAGCAAGGGAGAGGTTGTCAAGCCTTTTTTCATTTTAGATTGGAATTTCACATTTTGTTACAATCGTCTCATAAATTGTACTTCAGGTAATGAAGTCATCTCTAAGTATTTTTTCACTAGAAAATGCATAGAAATGTAGAAGCAAAAGAGTAAACAATACTGAAGAAGGAACTCTGGGCTGTGAGATAACAGAGTGGTAGCAGCCCCCGGAGATATCAGATGGAAAAACCATAGAGTCCCCAGGTAAGTCCCTACAGTCTCATGTCCTACCTTTCTCTTTAGAAATAGGAGATGGCACAGCATTGGTGTGTGACTCCCTGTATACTCCATCACCGTACAAGTCCTTTGTAGATCTGAGCCTACGACCCTGACTCAGCAGAGCATTTAAAAGGTGTATTCAGGCAGGTTGCTGAATTTGCCATTAGCAAAACCTGCAACTTTCTTTGAGGAGAGACACCTTGAGTAAAATTTTCCACTGAACATCCCTCTGTGATAGAAACTAGTTTTACACACCTGTAAAAATCTTCTTGTGGGGCTTTTTAAGACAGCTACTCATAGAATAACTTAGGTTGGAAGAGATCTCTGGAGATCATCCATCCAACCACATAATTAAAGCAGGGCTAACTTTACCATTAAACCATGTTGCTTGGGACCTCGCTCAGTAATTTGAGTATGCCCAAGGATGGAAGTTTCACAACTGCTCTGCTCTTCTCACATTTCAGAAATGATGAGTCATAGACTCTTAAGCCCTAGATTAATTACCAACCCTCATTTGACGCAGCATTTGAGCATGTGAGTAGCAACAACCTGATGTACTTCCTTATATTACTTATTGAAGTTGGATCTCAATAAAATTAATATCTACCACCTTTATGAATAATTCTGAATGTGAAAAGTACATATTTTTCAGATAGTTGAATGGATGTAAAGAAAGATGGTAATGTTGCAACAATGAATTTTACAACCTGTTTATTTGATAATATGACTTTCCAATCCCACATGGCTAGAGGTACATTTATCTTGGAAGAATATTCTGAGGAAATGCACTATACCTCTGCTTTTGGCCTTGTTTTAAAAAAGTCGCTTTCATACACTCCCTTTTGACTCAAGACAGAAGGGAACAATAATGCATAAGCATTGGCCTCATCACCATAATTAGTTCTGTCACTGATGCAGCGAATTTGAGGAGCAGGAATATCTGAATGAATAGTTGGAATGCTACACACTGGATAACCTGTGGAAATCAATCAACAGGTAGCATGGAAAAGCCTGTATGTAAAGACAGTGCCAGGAAGGATAAAACATTTTGCGTGAAATGAGAACAAATTTGATACTTCGTCTCACATAGGTTCAATAAGAATTTGTATAATTTTATTCCTCATCTCTTTTTTCATATTTTTAGAATTCCTAGCTTCAGCTACATCAGGAAATCTTGCAGTAATATTCTAGCACTTATCCAGTACTTCCAGCTAAAAACATTTTTAGGTGATTCCAAGAAGATATTGTTCTCCTAAAGTTACTAGCATAATTTCTCAAAGACATCTAGATTAACTTTCACGTTTTGAATGGATTAACCATGCCAAACATCCAAGCCATGCCAACTTCCAAGCCACAATCCTAAACAAATTTAGTTTAGATAAATTAATTCACTATTGTACATTAGTAGAACCTGTAGCGATACTTTTAAAATTTGTTCCTGATTTTGTCTTAAATAATGCTCAGAAGTGAGAAGTACAGTCCACTGCACTTACAGGTTGTTGGGAAACCGCCTACTACAGCATTATACTGAGAAGAAATTGTTCGATAATTTGCAAATACATGGTCTGTTGATCTTGTAAGTGGTTTTGGTGTCTTTTCTGAGCTTCTCGGTTCCTTTAACACAAGATCTTCCTGCTTCAGCAGTGGCTCTTCATTTGTCTTTGTGTCTTCAGGCAGAACAGGAGCATGTAGTTTTTTCCCTATAAACAAAAGTTATGGTACAGCCAGGATTTACTACCAGCACATTATAGACTAAGAGGTAAAAAACATTGCTTGAATCCTTGAAAAACTATAAAGTACATAACATAATTAATCTGCATATCTGATAATGATTCTATGAGATTTTTTACTTTCTCCTGGTTTATGGGACATTCTCAACATGCAACACAGAACTCCAGGGTTCTGAAATACATTTGTATCTGAAGCTCTGCTGGGGGCAGGCAAGGGCTAAATGCACTCTAAATCCTACCCTTCTAAAGGAGCACCTAAGTTGACACCAGCAATGTCCTTTCAGTAGCTGTTGTAAGACCAAGATCATCTCCACAATTCCCCAGTATTGTCATCAACTTTTTGTAATTATTTTTTCTTCAAACTCCTTTAATAGCCATTTTGTCTTTCCGGTTAAGAAAGTTTGCAAACTCCACATAATTAATCAGACCATCTTTATTCAAATCACAATAGTCAAACAAGGAATCCAGGAGCTCATAATCTACATTTAGATTAAGCTGAAAGCAGGACTTCCACAGGTTGCCCTTGTCTATCATTCCATCATCATTCTATTGTAAATAAAATAAAACAGTTGTTATAAGAGCCATTACAAAAAGGCTCCACCAAAAGGAACACATACATGTATGTGTTTATATATACAGATAGATAGATAGATAGATAGATATAGCGCCAGGCACACCATTTCAGAAGAGTAACATTGCTGAGTACAAAAAGAAACCCTAATTTAGAAATTAAAAATCTGAATATAAAAGTGTCAATAAATAATTTTCAACTTCAGTCATATAGTGATTTGAAATTAAAAGAAACTCAGTATGACAGGGTATTGTGACAAGATAATTATCTAATCATAAATGTTGAGGCAAAGCCAAGATTTCTTTTGAAAGTAAGGCATCAATCATTCTGTATACATTTCAATTAATGTTACATACGAAATGTCAATTATAAATTTTTTTCCAGCGAGAAAAAAAGAAAAGATATGAAATTCTGATGCTTGGTGACTCAGTCAAAAAGTACAGCTTGGAAGAAAATATGAACATAATCCCTTCAACCGTATTTCTTTTAAGAAGAAATACCAAATTTTGAAGAGCAAAAAATGCTATTATTCCTGCTCACAAGTCCCTTACTTGCTGTTAACTTGGATACTTCAGATACTGTTGTGAAAGACTCCAAATACTGTTGTGTTTAATTCCATAGCATATCACAGTATATTAAACATATAATAACTATGAAGTTACCTTGTCTTTATAGTCCTCATCTATATTTGCCTTGCTATGCTTGTGTTTCTTCCTGTCTGCGTGTCCATAGCCCAGGACCACTAATGTCACACACTCCTTTACACTTACATTTTTTCAAAGCACTAACCTTATCATAATGCCTGAATGCTTCTAGTAACATGTCAAAATTCTCATAGTTAGCTTTCTGCAAACTTTGCCAAACTGCAGACAAGACAGCTCTCTCTCTGTCTTTACCATGGAGGAACTCACATGGAACCTGGCAATGAAGAAGATCACCAACTCCTATAAAAATAAACACTTCCTCAATTAGTTGTGCATATACAGAAAAAGGACATTTTAAAAAGTGGCTTACAGTCTTAAGGAAAAGGAGAATTTCAGTTTCGAGATGCTGATTTTCAGCACTGCTGAACATATGATATGGCCATTTCATTAAAAGATCAAATGGTCCATATGACGATTTCTCTACTCACATGCAGTTAATATCAAAAATTTTGAAACATCTTAATATAGCTTCACAAATCCATCCACTGCTTCCAAAAGCTTCTGACAGCAGTAAGAGTTACTTGATGTCCGGACAGCTGAGAGCAAAAGAACATATATTATTAATCTATCACTTCCAGTTTGTCATATTTCAGGATAGTTACAAGAACCAATGGAAAAGTCAATGTAATATTTCAGATAATTATATACCACTGATTTCTAGAAAGGCAACGTACTATTTTTGTGTTACTCTTCCCATTTTCTACATATCCTAACTTATTATTTTTTTTAAACACTTTGGCACACTAAGCTACAGTCTTCATCCAAGTCCCCAAGACACCAAGGTCACTTTCTAGAGTGCAAGAAGTTCATTCAGGGTCCAATAACAAATAGGAGTAGCTCACCTAATCCCTGTCTAACAGCAATGTACATGCATTAATTTCTACTTGTTAATAATGATTTTTTTTGTTCCGTTCCTTCTGCTGTTCCTTATAGGACAAGCATACCTACACATTTAAAATATTTAACTTTATTACCCTACATAGTAAAGCATGTATAAAAGCTTATGCAGAATTTGAACAAACCTTCTCTGGTCTTGACTAATTAAATAACTTTGAGCCACTTAAATTTTTTGCTGCCTAACTATTCACTGTATTCCCTAGTCATTAAACATAATATTAAAACACCATCAATCCCAACATTGACTATATGAGTTGACTAGTTTTCAAAATTTTGTCATAACGAAAATTAGTAATTTTTTATTTTCAACCTGTTTTCTATCTCTCTTCTACCTTCAAAAACTTATTATTCTTATTGATTGCTTGTTATTTTTACTCTTTTTATAGAAGTGCTGGAAAAATCATTGAGAGGAAAGACACATAATTGATTTAAATAGCCATTTTAACTTTGTCACTTAGATGTCAATATGAGTTTTCTGCCATTTCCCATTTTGTTTACATTCAGATACAGAGGCTTTATAAGAAAAAAAAAAAAAACACCACATGAACATCAAAACCAAAGTTTCTTTATTTCTGACATTTTTTTTCCACTAGCAATTTCAATTCTTCCCAAATTTTCCCTCCAAAAATTTAGTGTCACTGTTAAATTTTTGTACCTTGCCTCTAAGATTTTGGGAAAGTTTTATACCACACAACCAACAGTAATTACTTCAGCACAGTTTCATCAACAAGATAAGATTTTATTCTGCCCCTGAACTTACCATATTCATCTGGACAGAGTAACATTCCAAATCTATGGCCTGGGGGAACATTCAAAGTTTCTGCTATACTGTCAATAAGCACATTTCTTCGTTAATTGTCAAATTGTTTATTAATAGCCAAAATAAACCCTATACTATTATTAAAAAAATATGTGATCATCTGTTATATAATTAGGGATGATATACATAGTTCACCTGAAATTTGTTTATCAGTACTTTGCTTCAAAGTTGCCATTCCAGAAAAGCATCCATTTATAAACCTGTTTAGAACATTTGCTGTGCATAATATAATGCAACCAAATGTAAACATTAACTTTTTGAACATTTATACTCATTAAAAGGAAAAATATTCTATGCTAAAATATTTTTTTTTCTAAGGCAATGACAGAAATGGGTGAGAAAAGTCCTTATAACATACTAGTCAAATAACAGGAATGTTTAGGACAAAACAGTTCTGGTTTGTCCAACTTAGTTGGACAAACCAACCAAACTTCAATACGAATTGGAGTCAAAGGCAGCCAAGTGGTATGCCACAACTGATATCACTAATGTATTTTTCTCAATCCCTTTGGCAGCAGAGTGCAGGCCACAGTTTGCTTTCACTTGGAGGGGCGTCCAGTACACCTGGACCCGACTGCCCCAGGGGTGGAAACACAGCTCCACCATTCGCCATGGACTGATCCAGACTGCACTGGAACAGGGTGGAGCTCCAGAACACCTGCAATACATTGATGACATCGTCGTATGGGGCAACACAGCAGAGGGATTTTTTTGAGAAAAGGAAGAAAATAGTCCAAATCCTTCTGAAGACCAGTTTTGCCATAAAACAAAGTAAGGTCAAGGGACCTGCACAGGAGATCCAGTTGTTAGGAATAAAATGGCAAGATGGACGTTGTCAGACCCCAATGGATGTGATCAACAAAATAACAGCCATGTCTCCACCAACTAGCAAAAAGGAAACACAAGCTTTCTTAGG